ATAGGTCAGATCGTGGTACGATCGACGAAGTGTTCTGTTGGCATTTAATTTAATTGGCATTCATTTGATAAATTGTTCTTAAAAGCCAACCAGTCGACCGAATTAGCAAAAACAAAGAAACTGTTTGAATGTAGGTTAATATAGGTTTTCCCGTCCAATTTCGCACTTAGTGCATGTAAAAGTAAAGATAGGTCATTCAATTTCGCACATAGTGCATGAGAAAGTATAAATAGGTCATTCAATTTCGCGGATAGGGCAGCCAAAATCACCAATCGGCATTCAAATTCGCTATAGGGCAGCCAAAATGGCCAATTGGCATTTAAATTCGCTATAGTGCAGCCAAAATGGCCAATTGGCATTCATAATCGCTTTAGGGCAACCAAATTCGCCAATCGGCATACGAATTCGTATTAGGGGAAATTTCCTTACATTTCCCTCTGTTAATTCATATGCCTTTTTTATCTTCGTAAATTTTCTTTCATAATGTATATTTTCTTGTGGTCATTTGCACCATCTCTTCAATTATATGCATTGACTAGAGACATAAATTATAGCATGTATACAATATCATGATTTTCTTCTTTCATATTGTATATATATATATTTAATTTTGTGTTTTTTATCTTGTATCTGTTTTCATATGACTTTAGTCATTTGAAACTATCTTTTCATCACAACTTAAGACATTGATTACGGTTTTCTTTCCTTATAATAATTCTTTGTTGAACCTTTTATATTCTTTTTAAAACATAATTATAACTGAATGTATATACTTAATATGATATCGCAACTGCAGATGGTTATATTTTACTGATCTTTGGTAGGAAATTTACATGTTAAAGTTCAAAGCTCAAAACTCAGTCATTTTTTTCAGCCATTGATGTTAATTGCGTAATGTCTGCCAATGTAAATTCTCAAGCTGCTGATAATTATATGTGAAAAGCAAAAGGTGAAATGCAAAGGATGCATTACCAAAGGAGATGAAAGAAATATATATATACACTTTGCGCCAAGGCGCTGGTGAGGAACAAAATAACTTGCTCAATAAGCAGGCCAATGCTTCTATGATTTACATTTCACCTCTAGGAGACAAAACAAATACAACTATCGAAGTCCAGGCATCTGTAAAAAATAATGTAAATTGTCCAGTGAACTTTTATGAATGGTCATTGGTAGCACACATATTGCAGGTTGGGAAAAATGCGCAAAGAATATTTGAAAATGTATTAATGTATACAAGTCATGTAAATACAGTGCTAAATTGAATGCACTAGTTATGAACATGAATACCCTATGGCGAAATTGAATGCTCTATTTTCAGTCACGTGTCCTTCCGTGCCAACTTGAATGCACTATGGCGAATCTGAATGTTGTTTTTACACTTTTGATTGATCGATGGCGAATCTGAATGCCCATTATGAATTTTTGGCTGCCGTTTGGTGATTCTGAATGACTGTTTTTCTTTTTGGACTGCCCTATGGCGATTTTGAATGACTAGTTTGAATTTTTGGTTGCCCTATAGCAAAATTGAATGAACTATTTATACTCTTACATGCACTAAGTGCGAAATTGGACGGGAAAACCTATACTCTAATGGGACTTCGTTGGAGCCTCGGCAAATGTAGACCTTTATGTGGAAGACACGATCTAACTTGTCTGGTGCTGCACATAATGGCTACTAAAAACTATAGAAACTCTAATATGGAGGTTGACGGAGTTTCTAACGTCCTTGGAGTTTATGCAACATATGCGTATCTAAAAATAAACATTTTCATGGCTTTTTTTACTTTGCTTGGTCATCATAAAATTCTGTTCATCTGAGCTAACGAAGGAATGGATCATGGGTATAATGTACGAAATATTGTCCACTTTGATATATGAGAGGAAAACTGTCATGGCGAAAAAAAAGTGAAAATATATATATATATTTTGTGTGTACAGGTTCTGTCATTGTATCCCATGTAGGATTGACAATAGGCTGTATTGTGACCCTGTTATATCTGTGTAGGTACAGATGTTTGGTCAAATTTGTGAAGCCTTGTATTTTCATGTACACTGTAGGCCGTAGGTGGTCATTTATATCACAACCATGCTTTTGCCAGACAGTATTGTTGTGTCACATCAGTTTTTAGCACAAACTATTGTCAATGTGTTTTCAAGTTTATTAGAGGATGGTCATGATGAGGTCCACTCACTTAATGAACAGCCTTGTGAGTCTGTTGATTCCATTTCTAAGCTAAGTGTAGCCAAGTCAATAGAGACAGCACTCAATGAGCATGCTGCTATTTTACTCAAGTTTGTTGAAGACCAACAGGTCAAAAACCTGGAAAGTTTGTCTTCTTGTAATGGTGTCCAGTTGGTGATATTCCCAGTGATATTAGCGTGACAAATGTTGATTCTGAGCCAGTAGTTGTTACTGATGTAGCAGATGTTCTAGAGGTAGAGGTGTCAGAACAGATTTTGATAAAACCTGTTGATGGTATTGTATTGGTTTCTGATCACCATGAGGTTGTTGATGGAAGGCCTGTTTTAGAGCCCAGTGTTGTGTTTGCACCCGTTTGTGATGACTTGGAAAATAAGTCGATATTAAGTTGCAAGCCGCAGGAGTGTGTTGTATCTCCTGGTTATTCTTCATCACATGTTTTACTGTCTCCTTTTGAGAAAAGGCTCAATTTAGCTTTGGAATGTCACCCATCACTGCAAGTGCCAAACGCCAAGGCAGGAGAAAAAGTAGGGAACCACTGGGCACCCCTCACATTTCATCTTTGTGCATTTAAGATATGGCCAACAGTGTTGCCAGATCAGAGACAGGCAAAGCACCACATGATGAAAAGGAAACATGTGGGTCTCTGGCCAAATGCCATTACTTAAATTGTGTCCAATGACATAACAGAAAAGCAGTTTGAAATTTACTGCATTGAAGGGTTCCATTTGAACCATGTGTTTTATCACAATTGTATTAGAATGAGTTAATTTTTGCTATAGGATACCGCTTCACGTTAGTGTTGATGGTCATGGTTCGCCACCTTGAGATGCTCTTTTATTTGTGGTGTTTTGACTCCCCAAGTTTTAAGGCAGGAGTATTATGCATGTTTGAAATGTATTATGGATTTTTATCTAATCCAGACACTAGTTATATTTTCTGTATGAGTGTAAATCTTGACCATGAACGCCTGATGACATGAGAGTTATTGTTTAAGTAGGATCCAGGTTTTGGTCCAATGTTTGAAAAATATATATCCACTTGCCATTTGTTTACACTCTGACAGCTGTGTATGCTGAGTGTTCTATTTTTGGAAAGTGTTTGGGTATTGTGCGAATTGATACTGTGTATTATGTTTCCTAAGGAAGTAGGTCATTGAAAGTTTATCTGGTTCACTCCACTGATAAGAGTGTGTGTACAAGCATGATCTAGAAATTCATGTACAATCATTTTATTCAGAGACCGAGGTTTTGTCCAATTGGAAACTATCTTGATTGTATTCAGAAAAAAAATGTGACCGGAATGTCATTTTGCAGTCAGTGACAGACTACTGATGTTCGCATGTATTGGCCTGGGGACTTGAACATAATATTTTGCCTGCTTGCTCAGCTCATGCATCACTAGCACTATGTGTGTAATGTGTACAAAGTATGACAACACTGGATTTGATGTTTGTTGTGACACGTAAATTACAGCGATTGTTCTTGTGGGGACAGGGTTTGTCCAATACTTATGACTGTAAGGTAGTTTGGATTTATCAACAAATGTGTTTATAGGCAGCAAATAGTTGGATAACTTGTAAAAGGGGTCTTTATTACCTAGAATTTTGATAGTACCTGTACCTGTATTTGGCCATCAAGTGGGATATTCCAGGTGAAGACACTTGGGTGCTTATACTCTGTAGCCCTTTTTATATTTGAGGCTTGTATATAATTGTGAGCTCTCATTTGAGATTTATGCCTTATGTGACATTGTTCAGTTGTTGTCCATCTTGTTTGGACCCAAAAAAAGTTTTGTTTGTTATCAGTATGTGATATATATGTAAATTTCACTGGCTAGTGTAAACCCTTGACATTGCCATTTGTGCATACTCGGCCGATTCAAGGCGTAAATAATGTTCAATGGATCTTGATATAATGCCATGTTGATTCTACATGTTTTCTGTAGATTTAACATAATATTATTGTGCGTCGGTCGCCCTATTAGTTCATAATTAGACCATTCGAGGGCGCATGGTTTTAAAGTAGGGAACATGTAGTGAGACGTCTTTTATGAGGCACCGTACAATTGGCACACAGCCCAGAAAAAATGTATACAAACGCGCACTCAGTGCCGTGAACGCGCGAATATCATCCCTTTTCTGCCTGCACACCAAAGTGTGCAATTTGGAGGCCTAGTTCACAACACAGCCGTACACTTGCCAGGCGTTCGGGGAACTTCGGGGAACTTGGGGGAACTTCGGGGAACTTCGGGGAACCTAATTAAAATATTAGAACCGGTGAATCTTAGGAACCTCACTTTGAATCTGGGAACTTTAGAAATACAACCTTTGTGATTTAATATATTTTATGATTGGCAACTGTGTCACAATTTATAGAGCTAGCAACTGAATCTATTATCTTATCAATACTTTTTGTAACAGTTGTTTTTGTAGCTTAAAATTGAGATCAGGTATTGATTTAAACTATTGTTATCGATTTTTGTGAACAAGTTCATGAGACCAAGCATTATTTCACTCCTCTTTTGATTTGTTTCTTTTGATCTTAATTATTCCTTGGCGTCCTTAAATCTAATTATTTGAGCAGACCTCCTTACTGGCGTACCGCTACAGTACAAAGATTTTATATTTTGTTTTCGTTTTGTGCTTTTAAATTTTCAAATTTGTACCAAGTCATACACCAATACACAATTTACAAAAGCTGGATATACGCTGTAAAGTTCGTGTCATGAAAAGTAAAAGTGTTAAAAGCATATCCTAATCGTACTTCGTATCACTGTTGTTTTTTTGTTTTGTTTCTTTCCAGCGATTTGTCAGATTACAAAATTACCAGCCTGACGAAAAAAGACATGGAACACTTGACACATTTGCGTCAACTGTGAGTACATGCCATCGGTTATACTGAACATGTTTGTTTTTGTTTTAATATTGATTTTTACATTTTTGGTATGCATCAATTCAGAAGCACAACAAAACTCGACAATTAAAAACTGCCAAGCCCACGCATTCTCAGCACATTTTCAAGATATGTCTGGACTGGCTATTGATGGAACGGCCCGGTGATAAGCTTATGAAATGTAATACGCTGTCCAACAATTCCCCGTAGCCCGAGCTTTCATGATCCACAAACACTATGAAATCTTATACACTCAATCAGTCCAGCGTGTGACAGTCCGCCATTGTTAGGGGCTGTTGTGCCGATTTGGTTGCGGCGATCGGCATGGATTCTTTCCGGTGGTGACACCGCTTAGAGTCTGGGTGCTGATAATTACCCTCGCCTCCGGCTCGGGTAATTATCAGCACCCAGACTCTAAGTGTTATTAAACAGAGTGATAAAAACCTCCGGAGCACACATTTATTCCCTTATTAATTTGCTGTCATTTCTCTTCGCAAGTTCCAAAAATTAAGATTTTACCTCACTTTCAGTTCAATATGGCCGACTCGTGCATAAGGCCCATACTAAATGTCATTGGACGTTTTCAAACTACAGTCATTTGACCGGTTCCGCAATTTGACCAGTTCCGCAATTTCGGAAAACTAGCTCTCGTTTTCAGGAAGACGAAAACGCCAAGGACTTAAACTTTGGTACCGATGGAAAGGTTATTCAATCTACTTTTCAAAAATGGTTTTAGTTTTAGGATACTCACTTACATTTAAAAATAAATCCCCTACGACCGTCACTTGCCGTTAACGAACTGCCGAAATGGAACGCGCACGGAAGCGTGATTTCATGTTTGTTGCCTGCTACACGATTGTTCAGGGGAATTAAATCATGGCAATAGATGCAACTTGTTTGGAAATTATTCATTATTCCACCATACAAATATAAGATTTGAAGTCTTTGAATTGTTTTTTCTATACCCACCAGAGTAACTGCTGGTCGTTTGGCCGGTTCCGCAAACGCATTCATACTGCCTATACAATACACTGGCCATGGTGTGACTGTATTAACCAGTGCTGCTATTGACAAGTATTGTTGATGACGGCCCCCTAGCGCGGTGCACTTTATTTATTTTGCCATAAATCTTTTTTTTTTTACAACTTACAAAGAAATTGAGAATTTCTATTAATCCTTGTTTAAAAATGTCGAATTTGATGATCATTTCTGGGTGTTTAGTGCAAAATTGAAAACAAAATTGAAACAAAATGATTTTGTTTCTGTCCAGCTTCCGGATAGCAATGTAGGTTTTGGATTTAAAAAAATGCGGACTTCAAAATTTAAAATACAAAAATCTTTCTTAGTGAGCAAAATTCCCACTAAACATTTTTCCTTTGCTCTAAAAAAATTCACCCCATACTTGGTGTTGAAGCGGTTGCGCCTCAGAGGTTTGGATTCATTTTAGAGTTACAACTCTCCACATCCAGGGTGCATGAGTCAGCCCAGGCTAGGAGGTGAGGTCTGTGGGGAACAATTAAAAATAGTGCATAATAATATGGAAAATAAAATACAGGTGTGTTTCTAACCCAAAGGACATTTCCAGTAATTTAGTAAATTTAAAATTATCATTTTTTTCGGTGAGTTCTAACCTTACTCTTTACTCTTTTAAACAAAAAGAAAAATAGGTACACTAATATTTAATGAAGACCAGTCTCTCGTCAGTACAGAGACACAAATTTTGATTGTTTTCTTGGAGCACAAAATTTGTCAAAAACTATAAACCATTTCTCAATTTTTGTTTCAACTTGGTCATAAACTAAATGATTTATATAAAATTTGTGTTTCATACAGACAATGCCAAAGACAAAGAAGAAGATTACGCCAGCCTTCTGATACATGTAGGCCATAAGAGGCCATCAGCACATCTTTTTCAGTTTTATCTGTGAAGGTCAAGAAGAAGTTGAATATTATAGTGAAAGTTCATGTAGCTGTGTGTCTTCATCACCATTCCTTTGAATTAATTTATTTATGTGACAAGTTCTTCTTTTGTATAGTGCTAGCTTCTGGAGTGCTTAAATTATTTGTGTATAACAATTAAACAGACATGCAGGTGTCATAAAGGCAATAAATTTAAAGGCGTTACATACATTTTTATTAACCAGTACATGTAAAAGAGAAGTGAGGTGTTTGAAAACTATGCTACTTAGCATGAAAATCCACAGAACATGTCTATTTCTGTGATTCATCACCATTTATTTATATGACAGGTATATTTTTGGATTTCAAAGGGGTAGCTTCTTGAGTGCTTTAGTTTTGTATTACATTTACATTTTACACACGATTATGCAGGTATCACATGTCAATATATTGAAAGGGTTATCGGGATGTACGTGATGAATGTGTTGACATTTTCTTTTAAGAGCATCACCGAACGGTAGATGAGGTTTGCTACAGTTGCCCAAGCATGATACACGTACAGAGTTAATATGTGCAACAACGTATGAGGAGTAACCGAACCCTCTCTTTAACTTTCCAACGACATTATAATTAGAAATTGCCATTGCTATAAAACAGCCATAGGATTTATGACATTTTTAACAATTTGTTTTGATTTGTTTGTGAAATTAAATTTGAATGTGAAACAATATGTATGTGGCCTGTATGTATCTGGCCTGCTGAGGCCTGTTCCCTCTCCCCTCCCGGCCCCCAGGTTCCCCCTACTGGATGTTGGTGCACACAAAATTAAGCATATTGTGTTTTTACCCCGAACAAATCGAAACACTCCCCCCCCCCCACAAAAAAAAGTAAAATGAAAAAAAGGGGAGGGAATAAACAAAAGTAAATAAATAATAATAATTAAATAAACAAATAATATTAATAAACAGTGCTCCCCTGCAGACAATTAATGATTCAGTTCCAATTCATCCAGCCATGCATTCACTTCCTTAAGTGTCATAGGAATTAAAATGATCCTGGAGAAATAATTCAAATTCATAAATAGCTGGTCTGTGCTTATGTGAGAAAAAAACCCCAACCAACTGGAGCAATTCGGTACAAGGTTTGTGTCTGGTTCTATCCAAAGTCAGAGTGTGTCTAATTAAATAAAGAATAAGACAACAACAAAAAAGAAAAATATTATTAGTGATTGCAAGATGATTGACAGAATGCACAAAAAGCAAGAAAGCCATTTAATTGGATTATTATTATTATTAATCATTTCTGGTAATGAAACCAAGGATTCCTCAAAAGCGCCCTAGGCACTGTAGCTCGCAAGCCTGAAGAAACCTGTGGAGAGAAGACAATGAGAAGAAGTTACAGATTGAAGCAAGTCAAATAATTATAACCTGATAACGTAGAAAAAAAGATCCAACAAACCATAACAACTTCATGGAGTTACATTTTGTAAATTTGGACGCATTATAATGTGCAGACCTTGGCTCATGCACAGGGAAATATAATCCACATCTTTTCTTGGCTGGTTTTGGGGGCAAAAACGATCTAGAGTTGGCCAGTAAACAAGGAATATTTTCAGTCCAGTCTCACAGAGGGCGCCGTTTGCGAAACCGGAAAACGTTTGCGAAACCGGTCAAAGCACCGACCTCTACAAAATGTCCTGGCAAATTTCTCTTTCAAACGATCGCAGAAAACTATTCATATCATGAAGTAGGTGAGTAATTTGCGCATATTTATAGATAGGTAGCTTCCTGTGAAAGCGCGTTTTTTCGCCACAATACGCTTCAGACGATTTGCGATTGCGGAACCGGTCAAACGACTGTACTTTGTGCATGCTTATGATGCGCCGCAAGTCAGTATATGAATCTTACATCCGGTCATTATTGTTTGTCGAAGTCGAACACAAAAGTATCTCTGCTTCTCAACATAGTTTGTTAAAATGGTTCTCTAATGAAACACGGGCCTATTCAAACGAAGTGATGTTCTGTCTGTGTTTGATGATTCCAGTTAATCATAACATCCGTTTCCGTTTTTAATGTCGATTTCTTTAGGTTACTATCCAGGAACAAACTGCAAAACGTCGAGGAAGGGACTTTTGAATCGCTGACAGATTTACAAACATTGTGAGTATATGCCACCAACGATAACTCATGCGATACTGAAGTAAAGTAATTATGGTTCAAATGATTTGTGCGAAGAGAAACCGGAGACTAATCGATGCGAAATACAAGCCTTTTAACAATAAACAAAAAGGTAACTTGATTTTTTTGTTTTTTTGCAGACGAATGATTGCCTGTGATTTGGAAAATGTGCCGCCGAGAATGTTTGCAATACAAAATCGTCTAGTCACTCTGTGAGTTTTATTATAACAAAACCTTTCTTTGTAATCCCATTTGTTTAACTCAAACAAAGACAAGATTTTTAAAATCATCTACGAGACTAACACATGGCACACCGCGAGCGAGGGAGACTATTTTTGTCATATCTTTTATTCTGAAGACAAAGTGTGCAAGCACGTTTTTACTGGAACTCCCTGCGTTATCGCTATGCATAATGGCGGACTGAGGTTTTTTTTTTTAATACCGAGAATTATCATTTTCGTTTTCCAAATATTGGCTGCGTCCCCAGTTCAGCTTATTGGGATTTTTTTCGGAACGTGGACTTCGGTTCAGTGTAGCTGCGTGTTCTGACTTGAGGCCAATGATATCACACCAACGTTTCAATTTTTATTTTTTATTTTGTTTTTGTTTTTACATATCAAAAAGGCTTCTAAATAATTCTGGTGCATGCCCGAGATCAAGGCCTAGAATAAGCCCATAGTGTCTAAGATGGAGAAGTTGCGACTTGAACATGATGTTGATGTTATCAAAACGATGATTTTTTTTTAAGGTTTTGTTTTGGGGGTTGTTAGAAATCAGAGTTAAAAAGCCATTAAATATCCACATATGATATCTGTTTAGAAATTGTTCTGTTAAGTGTAATGCGCCTTTCGATTGTTTCCCCCACCCCTCTCCCCGGGCTGCCCCACCCAAGACGTGGGGATTGTCACTTTTGAAGTGACAAAATCCCCACCCCTTGGGCAAAACGTAAGGGACAATCCCCAACCATGCCCCGATATACATACATACTTGGGGTGCACTAGTGATTGCCTTTCCATGTAGTACGCCAATGGTAACAATGTAATGTAGCCCGTGCGGTACTCTGAAGTGCGCCCTCAAGCGGTTATGAGACGCGCGTGTACTGTAACCATGGCAGGCGCCATGTTCGCACATGTTTTGGCGAAATTCCCGCAGTGAAATGCCAAGATTCTTGCTAAAAGTCAACTGTTTAGTTTGACATTGATTGAAATCCTACAGCTTGTGGCTCTCAGGTGAGAATAAGTGAAGGATAATGGGATGATTATAACATTTGGGGTGATTTTTGATGATAACTTGTGTTGATAATTGATGTTGAAATTAACGTTACAGAAACAAATGTGAATTGTTTAAATCGGGAGCCAGTTTTAATGCATCTAGAAGAAATAATTGATCTTGTGACCAATATACCTTTCCGTAATGAATCCTCACATACTGGGATGATTCAAATTAAGTGACATGTTGGGTTATGTTAGAAATTGAACAAGTTTAAAGTGTATCGATGCTAGAAGTTGGGTGGATTATTTGATCTACCGTGTAGAGACACAAGCCTTTTGAGACACAAGCCTTTTGTTAAGAGTAGAGACACAAGCCTTTTGTTAAGGTACATATTTTGCCTTTCTTTTACTCTCAGGTGTACCTTGATATTTTGGGGATTAACTTGATCCGTATTTTTGCTGCCTGGACAGTCACAGTCTGGAACTCTGCTCCACATCTTGAGTGGATCAAGCCGTTGGTGACTGGACTGGCCACATGTGAGCTTACACATGTTACATCTTCACAAGGACAGGAATTACATGTATGCTGTCTGCATTAGGTGAACTACCGTAACAGGAGCAGCCCTCACATCAGTCTATCTCCAAGCAGGAGGGATCTTGTGAAGGAACCGTTTGCCGTGTAGCGTATACAGTGACGTTGAACTTCTGTGGTTTCGCCGGAACTCCACGAAGTGAAGTGAACTGAACTGACTAGTCAATCAACATTTTTGGATTGGGACTTGATTGCCTTAGAGTGACATCAAGAGTCTCAAATATCCTTGTTTGAATATATTTAGGGCCCTAATATTGTCTGTATACCGGTATTTTGTTTTTTTGTCAGAAAGATAAATGATTGTTTATTTCATAAAGTGTCATTGTTGACCTAAACATTTACATGTTTTTTCTTGATTATCATCATCAGCGCTGGTGTTATAGATTTTGATCTAGAGTTTTCAAATTAAAGGTTTTCTAGTTCAGTATAATTTACAGTCTAAGTAGTGGTTTGTTCATTTGTCTGACCCAAGGTGTGTTGACCCCAATGTGGTCCGTGTGGCTTACAGTAATATCAGTTCCCGAAAGCGCCATCCTGGGGCATGAAAAACGTGACCAAATCCCAACATCGGACCTGGGGCAGCGAGGTTGGGGGAGGGGGGAAACATTTGATAGGCGCATAATTTTATCGAAGTGGCACACTCTTTTAATAGCTCCCGTAAGAAATATTCAATTATTAACCTATATATTATCGTTTTCTTATTCCCGTCCCCATTCAAAGAGATTTATCGTACAACATCCTCACAAGGCTTGTCAGAGGAAGTTTGTTCGGCCTGCACAACTTGGAATATCTGAAAGCATGATAATTGACAAATAACAACATTGTCCTCTTTTAATTTAAAGACTATGACGCCGTAAGAGAGCAAGAAAATATCGAGAAAAAAATGACGAATTGAGATTTCATTTCAATTATTTGTCTGTTAAGTTATTGATATGGGTAGGCCCTATTTTGTAATTTTCCGCTATTAAAGACTCCATCCTTGTCCCCTTTTTCGAAATATTTTTAAGGGGAAATTATGTTGATCAAACCGCCCTCTACGGCTGAGGAAACTTCTGGCTTTCCTCCAGTAGTTAAAATGTGAAAACCATCATCACAGTGTACTGTTGGTCTTTCGATGCGGTAGTCTAGATGGCAGACTGACACTTCCAAACAAGGGCGGATCGAGAACACAATTGGGGAGAGGGACCAAAAATATTCCCCCCCCCCCCAAAAAAAAAATGGGTCCCAAAAATTACCGCGAGGGGTAATTTTGTTGGATTCTAGAAGCTCTGTAGTGCGATCTGAGGCAATTTCTGACTACTTTAACCACTTTTTTTTTTTTTAAAGACGGTGGTGCATGCAAGCAGTAACTGCCTTTATTGCGACGTTGTTTATTTGATTGTTTATTTATTCTTTTCCAGCGATATACGTGGCCATCGACTGGCTGAAATCGAGATGGGGGTATTCAAAGATTCGTCCGGAATTTACTTCATGTGAGTGAGATGTTTAAAACAATCGTTTTAAAAATTTTATGTTTGTTCGTATAGTGTGTTGTATTTGCTTTGTTTAAATAGGTCATTATTTTTATACAACGCCTAAATAAATCCCCGTCATCGGATTGGTGGGTCGTTGATCACGTGTCATTGAATTATTCGTCCAAACCCACGTCCCAGCCGCACCGTAAAAATAGAAGTTCTATTCCACGGTAAATAGTAGTTCGATTGCCCGGTCACACTATTGGTGGCTCTGACCAATCAGATGACGAGGATTTATTCAGGTGTTGTGACTATTCAAATAATGAATGTTTCACATTCGTGCAATGGCAAGAATAATTTCATTCGGCGACAGATGGAATGTTCCATTCTTTGCCACGTGGAATTGATTATTCCACCAAGTTATTCTAACCATTGCCCTTATAAACATTCATTATTTGTATAATAACCAAAGTGTAAATCCATCCTAGGGGTTCAGAGTTTTACTACGCATTGTTCTTCGGCAAGAATTATATTGCTATACAAATCAACATCTTCATATTTCGCAGGCACATCTCATAAAACAAATTATCGTCGATACCAGCAGAACTCTTCAGACCACTCAGAGATCTCCGATCCTTGTAAGCTTTATTCCTCCATTGCAACTTTTGATATACCACGTAGAAAATTCCAAGTAATATTCTTTTTGTCGTTGTCCCAACCACCACCTTACTCCGTCACCACCTTACACGTCACCTACTTCTCCATTTAAACTATCAATTTTGTAGTCAAGACACTTTCTGAGCCAGATAAGTCAGCTATAATAAGGGAATAAATGTGTGCTTGGGAGGTGTTAAACACTCTGTTTAAGACCGGTTGGAGTCTGGAATGCTGATAATTACCCGAGTCAAAGACTCCAACAAGTCTTAAACAGAGTGTTTAATACCGACCAAGCACATATTTGTTCCAATTCATAAGTCATTTTAGGTTTTAAAAAAAAAAGGAACTAAACTTTTTCGGTCCAAAAGTCAAAACAAGTCAAAAATTATTCATTTTCAACGATTTCGATCAAAGCACCCCTCTATAGGTATACATGGTTATACAATGGTGGCCCTCTGAAAATATCGGGCTCTCGACCAATAGGAATAGGTAAACTGTATGACGTATGCACGACATTATAAGCTGGTATACAGCAACAGTTAAAGCTGAAAAACTAGACACTAGGCGATTCCGATTATGGGTCGTTGATTATGGGTCAGAGACTGAGAATGTGGACGCAAGGTTTACTGAAAATGTCCGAGAATTTGTAAAAGAATTCGGACTCAGACACGATTCGAAATCTGGCTGCAAGTATAGATATGTTTCCAAAAACTGATATTTCTTTCAATTCAAATCGTTCACCAACAAAGCGTCGGTGCTTCGTTCCTGTTGTTCCACCATATTGCAATATATTTGGGGACTCGGGGAAAAAGACGTGACTACAAAACCGATTAGTATCATCACTATAACAAGAAGTATTTCAGGCATGCAAACAACTCCACTGATAATTAAAAAAAACATTCACCAAAATGACCTTTGTGACTCAGATCGTATCAATACAGGGTGAGTAAAAAAAAAAGAAGGAAACCCAAATGTCAGGAGCATTTTTGTTACGAAGTTCTTCATGTAGCTCTTTCAAAATCTAGGATGTAAAAGCCCAATTAATAAGTTTCTTTTAGTGCAAGAATCATTTAAATTTCTCATGTACTTGTCAAGTTACCGAATTTTAAACACAGCTAGACACTGTTTTAAAGATTTGCCCATGGATCACCAAAAAAGCCTCGGGCTTGTGTTCTATCAGCAAAACTAAAACAATTGACACACATTTCTATGTGAATCTTTTTTCGTTTTGCTAAAAGAACACTTA